TGACAATGGATTCCGGTCAATCATGCTAAGGCTTGAGTTCCTCTTCATCTCAATAGTTATCTTCTCTAACATGGGAATTTCCTCCTGCTGCCAGTAGGAACCCACTGAGGGGCCCAGGAGCTCCAGACATCTCTAACTTAAAAGATGACCACCAAGGCTAGGATTGCGTAGCTCAGAATTATTTATCTATGCTATATGCAAACAGTAACTGTCTAGTTTTACCAGCATGGGGGGTTAGAATGCTAGGGCCTGAGCTCTGCAAGGACCCCTTACAGAGAGAGAGAGAGAGAGAGAGAGAGAGGGAGAGAATTACAGTTCTCAGTTCAAGAGTGAGAGTAGAAGCTGCCTTTCTTTTTACATTTTTCAAACTGTAACATTCCTTATTCTCAGCAAATCAACTTGGGGTATAATTGGTACATTTGTCCTTATCTCCAATTCCAGAAAGGTTTCTGGGTTCCTGCAGAGAATCAGGAAATTTCTTTTCATATGTTTTTCAACAAAGTCCATGCTCCTAGTGTCCTCTCAAATGCCACATAGAAAGTCCCGGTTTCTTTGCCAGTTTCTCAAACATTACAATCTTGGGGGAAAAGACTGGTCTCGCTCTAGACCTATTAGCTGGTGGGCCTCTAGACTTCTATCACCCCTAGATACAAGAAATTATACAAGGTCAACCACCAGCAGTCTGTAGCAGTTTTGTTTTGTTTTTGAGGGTATAGCTCTTACTAACACCAAACATATTGACATCAATCTGTCCTTATTGAATGGCCAAAGACAGTTTGCACCTTAATGACCCAGGGGAGAGTGATTATCTCAAAGTAAACAAACTTCAAAAGCATGGAGGCCAATCTAGGCTCACCTTCCTACCCCTCAGCCATCACCCACTTCAACAAGGTCATCCCATTTCAATCCTGCATCACTATGCCAACTGTCCTGAGCTATACCTGACTTAGGTGAGTCCCCAGGAAGTTTAAGTTTGATATAAGAACAAAATGAGGCATTTGTTGTTCATTCAGTTGTTTAGAAAAAGAGAGAGATGTGCCTATATAGATAGCTGGGGACTGTATCTATATAGTATATAGTATAGTTAATAAGATCTATACAGTTTCTATATTGAGGACACCATAAATCAGTTCAACTTATTGAAGTTTCTCTGCCTTTGAATAATGCATGGGAGTCCACCAGCCAAACATCGGAGATGGTTTGGAGCATCTTGGAGTTTTTTCATACTCAGGTGATCAAGAAGTGTTGTCAATAACCTGAGCCTTTGGTCCTCTGATGGTTTTTAATACTTTTTAAGTATTAACTTGAATGGGGATGGGGTAAGAAGAGAGAGCGGTTTTAGGATACTGCTTCCACCACTAAAGTGATGTATGATTTGAACTCTGAAGATAATTAAGGACTCTAAAAGATGGAGATAAGCACAGGAGTCTAAGGGAACAGTTCAGGTAAAGAAGATCTGGAGGCTGAAGATAGAATGATGATTTGGGGGAATAGCAAACTGTCTGATTAGATTGAAGTAAGTGTGAAAATGTAGCCTGTAAAGGATGTAAAATGCCAAGCTAGAGAGTTTATGTTGTATGCCAAAAGTAATAGAGAAACATTAATATCCTTGAGCAGAGTCAGACCTGTGGGCAGTCTTGAATATTAATTCAAGAGGGAGGAAGATTGAAGCAGAGGCATCAACAAGGAGTTATTGCAGTAGTTCGGGTGAGAGCTAATGAGGGCCTGAATTAGGCTGATAGACCTGAAAGTGAAGAGCAGTGGAGGTGGAATTGATAAATGAATTAGACTTCGGGGTTGGGGCGGCGAGGACGATGCAGAAATAGGGAACACAGGTGCCTGGGAGGAGGGTGATACTCTCAATAAACTTGGAGAAGTTTGGAAGATTGAAGGGCTTAGGAGGAGTGCAAATGGGTTTTGTGAAATGAGTAGAAGACATCCAGGTGGAAATATTAAGCAGACATTTAGCAACTATAGGATATGAAAGCTCATGAGAGAGATAATGGTTGGGCATAGAGGTTCAGGAATAGTCTTTGTAAAGATGATCACTGAACCCATGGGAACTGATGAGATCACCAGGAGAGTGTATATTTAGAGAGAAAAGAATAAATCCGGCACAAAACTATTAGGGACACCTACCATTACAGGTCAGGAGGTATCAGGGAGACTGAAAAGGAGCAGTCCAACAAATAGGAGTGAACCTGAAAGATTAGTGTCATGAAGACCCAGGGCGGGTAGAGTATTCAGGAGGACAGTTTTGTCTATGAGTCAAATGCTAAATGAGGTCAAAAAGGATAAGGACTGAGAAAAGACCACTGAATTAATATACAAAAGTGCAACCCTTTTAGACTAGATTGAAAGACATGAGAAGCAGAGACATCACAATGTATGGGGAAAGGCTTTTCAGATTGCAGAGAAATCACTCTACACTTTAGAAAGGTTCTGGAGCTTGTATGGTCCATTTTATATGGAGAAGCCAGCTAGACAATGAATTTGCCTTAGGGCAGAGAATACTCAATACCTTTATCCCCAGCCATTCTTTTGCACAAGACTTGTGAAGAATCTGTGAACTGTAACTTGGCTAATGATCATTAAAAATAGAGCCCCTCCCAGAGGAAAACTTACTCTGTATATGGAAGAATTGTTCAAAGTTGAGGCTCTGAGGGAGTCAAAGAGGAGATCTGCCTATCTTAGGCTAAAAAATTGTTGGCCTACCTGAAAAGAATGCTGCAACAGCTGAACCACAGGATTGGCAATTAATAAATCACTGGGAAGACCATGGGAAAACAGGCACATTATGCACTCTGGGTGGAGCTGTGAATTGGCCTGGCCATTCTGGAAAGCAATTCATCCATGCCCCCAGTGTCACTAAACCATGCGTACCCTTTGTTTCAGCAATATCACCACTAGGTCTACACCCTCAAAAGATCAAACAAAGAGGAAAAGAACCATATGTACAAAAATATATATATTATATATTTATATAAAATTTATAAATTTATATATTTTATATATTATTTATAAATTTCAGTTATATTTATATTTATAAATTTATTTACAAATAAATTTATAAATAAATATTTATATATATGTATATATATGTATATGTATATGTATATGTATGTATATGTATATGTATATGTATATGTATAAAACAGTTCCTCATAGTAGGAAAAAAAAAAAGCCCTGGAAACTAAGGTGGTACCCACCTATTGGGAATTGGCTGAAGCCAATTACAGTATGTGATTGTAATGAAATGTCATTGTGCCATTAAAAAGCAGTGAAGGGGCAGTTAGGCGGCACAGTGGATGGAGCACTGGCCCTGGATTCAGGAGGACCTGAGCTCAATACCAACCTCAGACACATAACACTTAATTAGCTGTGTGACCCTGGGCAAGTCACTTAACCTCCTTGACTAGCCCAAAAAAAAAAAAAGCCGTGAAAATGATGGTTTCAGAGAAACTTGGAAAATCTTATGTGAACTGATAAAGAATTAAATGAGCAGAATGAAAATAATTTTTACTACAACACCAAAATTGTAAAGAAAAATAACTTTGAATGACTTGAGCACTGACAAACCATGATTCCAGAGGCCTAACTAATGATGAAGTCTGCTACTGACCTCCTGACGAGAAGGTTGAGAGATTCAAGACGCAGAATGAGATATACACTTCTGGACATTACTAATAGGAGTAATTTGTTTTGCTTGATGATACATACTTGTTCCAAGGATCTTGTGTTTCTTTTTTCTTTTTTTCAAGAGTAGGGAAGGTGGGTGGGGTGAAATGGTTATTATTTTTTTAAAAACCAAAATAACATAAAAGTTATGTAAAAAAACTAACATTTAGCAATTAGTAAATTGTTCATCAGTAACCTTGGAGACACAAGTTTCAGTGGGGTGGTGGTGTTGAAACCATATTGCAAGATGAGAGGTGTATGGAAAATAGAGGCAGTAAGTGGTTTCAGAACTGCTGTTATATGGAGGTTTTATGAGATGGGAGGTAGGAGGAATAATTTTAAATTTTGCCCAAGGCATTCAAATGAAGACATTACTATTCTGCTCTGCTTGGAGTTCACCTACACTTTTTTTTCAACTGGAGACCAGAGTGAGGCAGAGGAAGGAGCAGTGATGAAATCATAGCTACTCTGTTGATTTGTTATCCTAAGGATTTGCCTGGTTTGAGGTTGACTCACCTCTCATTTTTTACTTAACTCCTTAACCTTGTCATTTAATGCCCTCCAGAACATGCCTCCAATTTGCTTTTCCAGTTTGTTTCCCATTGCTCCCTTTCACATCACTCTGTACTCCAAACAAATCACTACTAGCTGGCTTCTGAATTCAATATTCTGTCTGCTGGAATTCATTCCCCCCTCACTTTCACCTTTTAGAATCTTCAAATCCTTCAATGCTCAGCTCACTCTATCCTTCACTGATCCTTCTAAGGACTCTCCTTCCTCAAATTCTTACTTTTTCTCATCTATGAATATGTTGTATCTTCCCAGTAGAATGGAATCTCCTTAAGAATAGGGATTGTTTTCTTTTTCTTTTCTTTTCTTTTTTTTTTAAATGTTTTTGTATTCCCAGGACCCAGCACATTGTCTTGTATAAGATATGTGCCTCATAAATATTTGTTGAATGAATAACTAGAAAGATCCATTGCTATTCTCTCAATTTTCCCTCCTCCATTTAAGTCACAAAAAGTGCATGTTGTACTCAAGTAGTCAGGAAAATGTCCATTTGTCCTCCTGGATAATCCTACTCTACAAGGTAACCTTGAATTTGGGATTGTGGTCTATGCCTCTGATTCTACCAATATAGTTATTGTGTTGCTGAGGAGCAATTCTCAGCACAACAGGAGTACCAAAAAGGATGCCATGCAATAGGGCTCAGCCTTGTGCTATCTCTGCTCTACCCCGGTCCCTATGAATCAAGTTGCTTCTGAAACACCCTCCTCACCATAATCACGTGGGCCTAATTCTGCTGAGTTCTCTTACTACAGTTATCGGTGCATTGGAATCCCGGGTTGTCCTACGAAAGATGAGTGACCTACTGGAGTTGATGGTGAAGCGCATGGACACAATGGTGCATTTGGAGAATGGCAGTGAATTGCGCAGGGGTGATGAAGAACATGCTGTGGATAGGTGAGTACCAGGGGTAAGGACTATAAGACTTCTACATAGGTAGTGATGTGTGTGGGTAGGTAGACCATGAGAGGTGTGGAAGAGAGTCAAGCATTTTCCCTCACCTTTGGGAAGAGTTCATTCCTAGCAAGAGTGAATCTAACACTAGATATTTTCACTAAAGTCTGTTGATTTTAAGTTGGATCTGGAGATCAGCTCTGTTACTTACTTTGCTCAAGTCACTTAACCTCTCTGGTCCTCAGTTTCTTTATTTGTAAATGATGGCATTATCCTCAAAGACTTCCAAAGTTCCCTCCAGTCTGAAAACTGCAACATTCAACCCCTTCATTTTGCAGGTGAAGAAACTGAGGCACAGAGAGGGGAAGAGGTTTGCTCAGCATCATATTACAAATTCATGACATAGTTAGGACTCCTTATCTAACTCCCTTTCCACTGCATTCTACTGTTTCTTCTACTGCCCAAGCTTGAATTCTCATATTTTATGTAAATTTGTATAAAACCTATGTAACAATACTTTGTCCTCTGTGAAAACCAAGAGACACATGACAGGATGGGTGTATTTCAATAAGCATATAGCTGCCTATACGTTAGTATTCAAAAAATAATATGTCTGCCTATACATTAGTATTAAAAAAATAATTTACTTAACATAGTGGGAAAACACTGAACTGGGAGTCAGTTGATCTACAGTCTAACTTTAGTTCTTCGAGTGACTAGTTCTGTGATTTGGGGAATGTGATTTCCTCCTTCCAAAAGTCAGTTTCATCATCTATAAAATGGACATAACATTGTGCATTTCCTCTGTCCAGATGACTCCCAGATTTATATATTTAATCATCTCTCTCCTGAGCTCTAGTATTGTATCACCAACTGCCTATTGGACACTTCCAGCTGGAAGTCCTACAGGTATCTCAAACTCAATATGTTCATGACAGAACTCGTGATCTTTACCACCAAAACCACCCCTCTTCCTAACTTCCCTCTTCATTCAAAGGTTCCACATCCTCTCAGGCACTCAACTGTGCAAATACGTAGTTGTCTTTACATCTTCACTGTCCCTTAAACCTTGTATGTAATCAGTTGCCAAGTTTCATCAATTCTACCCTCACAATTTCTCTTATATCTTCACTTTTCTCTCCATTCAGAGTGGTACTAGTCTAGTTCAATTATTACCTCTTTCCTTGACTGTCGCAGTAACCTCCTCTTTTCTCTTTTCCTCAAAGTCTCCTTTCCAATCTTTCCTCCACATAGATGCCAAAGTGATATTTCTTTTTTTAAAAATTATTTGGTATTTATTTTTCCCCAATTAGATGTAAAAATGATTTTTGTAAATTTGTTTTAAAACTTTGAATTCCAAATTCTCTCCTTTCCTCCCTCTCCACCTTACCTCCCATTGAGAAGGCAAGCAATTTGATATAGGTTTATACATGTCATCATGCAAAACATTTCCATAATAGTTATGTTGCAAAAGAAAACACAGACAAAAAAAAGCCTCAAGAAAAATAAAGTAAAAAAAATGCTTCAATCTGTATTCAGACCATCAGTTCTTTGGGGATGGATAGCATTTTTCATCATAAGTCCTTCAGAGTCGTCTTGGATCATTATATTGCTGAGAATAGCTAAGTCTTTTATAGATGATCATCATAGAATATTGCTGTTACTTTGTACACAGTACATTCAAAGTGATATTTCTAAATACCATGTCACGTATGATTAAATCACTCCCCTGCTCAAGAAGCTTCATTGGCTCCTTGTTGCCTCTAAAATTAAAATAAAGGGAAAAAAAAGCAAATCCCTTCATTTGGCATTCAAAGTCCTTCATAATCTGGCTAGAACTACTCTCTCCAAAGTTACCAATGATCTCTTAATTGTCAAATTCTAACGGTCTTTTCTCAATCTTTATTCTTCTTGACTTCTCAGGAGTTGATGTTGTCCATAACCTTCTTCTCTCTAGGTTTTCATGACATTTCTCTCTCTCTCTCTCTCTCTCTCTCTCTCTCTCTCTCTCTCTCTCTCTGTTCTCCTCCTACTTGTCTGGCCATTTCTTATCAGTCTCCTTTCCTGGAAATTCATCCAAGGCATGCCCACTAATTGTCAGTGTCCTACGAGGCTCTCTTCACCTCCCATCATATTATTTCACTTAGTGCTCTAATCAGCTTCCATAGATTCATTTAGCATCTCTATAGAGATAATTCTCAGATCTATTTTTCTAGCCCTAACCTTTCCAGACATCCAGTCCTGAATCTCCAACTGCTTATTGGACGTCTTAAACAGAACAAAACTAAATTCATTATCTTTCCCCACAAACCCTCTCCTCTTTCTAATTTCTCTAGTATTGCTAAAGGCACCACCATCCTCCCAATCACCCAGGTTCTCAACCTGGTTGTCATCCTCAGCTTCTCATTCTCTGCCATTGCTCATATCCAATAAATTGTCAACTTCTATCATTTCTACCATTGTAACATTTTTGGTATTATATGCTCCCTTCTCTCCTCTGACATTGCCACCACTCCAGTACAGGCCCTCATCACCAATTACCAATTTAAAGAATCTTTAAAATAATTTGTACAAACTTTATTTTACAAATGGGAAACTGATGCTCAGAAGGCCTATGGTCACACAGCTGAATTCATATATTCACTTACATTATTCGTGTATATTCTATTTGTTGTTGTTGTTGTTCAGTCATTCAGGTGAGTCCAACTTTTCGTAACCCTCTGGACCATTACCTAGACTATTGAAATAACCTTCTGGATAGCCTCCCTGTCTCATGCCTCCCCACTCCAGCCCATCATTCACTCAGCTACTGAAGTGATTTTCCTAAACTGCATGTCTAACCTTAATCTCCACCCCCCTACCAGCCACTCAGTAAACTCCAATTGAAAACTTGAGAGCAGGGACTGTTTTTTGCCTTTCTTGGTATCCTCAGCACTTAACATAGAGCCTGGAGTATCATAGGCGCTTAAGAAATACCTGTTGACTTGACTTGACTTCAGACTCCCTTTCTAGCCCTATTACAGTTTATTCTCCTTAATATACTCTATGTCTCAGCTCAAGTGACCTACTTGTTTCTCTCTTACAACATTCTGTCTCTTGTCTCCATGTCTTTGCACAAATTACCCCTCTTACCTGAATTGCAACCCCTTCTTACCTCTGCCTTTTAGAATCTCTGGCTTCCCTCAAAGCCCTAGAAGAGGATGCTTCCTTCCTTTCTTGATCCTCAAACACATTAGGGCCTCCTCAATGGGAAATTCCTTTTTATTTATTTTGTTTAAATTCTATATTTATCTCTGTGTCTGTGTGCCTATTGTTTCCCAGCAACTGAATATTGGCTTATGGGCATCGCAAGACCTAGCACTATGCCTGGCACATAGAAAACCTGTAATAAATGCTTATGGATTAATTTGCATAAAGGATTGTTATGAGGATCAAATGAGATATAGGTCACCTAGGTTTGGCTTCGAATCAGAAATACATGAGTTCAAATTATGCCTCAGACAATAACTCTGTGACCCTAGGCAAGTCACTTAACCTCAGCCTCAGTTTCCTCATCTGTAAAATGGGAATAGTAATAGCACCTACCTCACAGGGGTTGTTCCAAGATTGACAGACAACATATGTACAATGCTTTGCAAACTATAAAGCTACAAATGCTAAATAAACCATAAATGCTAGCAGGTATTATTATTATCTAATAGATTTTTAAATCATAAAAGGCAGCATAAATTTCAGTTATTATTAGTCATGTGACCTTCAACAAGATAATTTACTTATTTGGGCCTCAGTTTCCTCATCTAAAAACATCCAATATTTACATATCTACCTCAAGGAGTTGTTGTGAGGAAAACTTTTTACAAACCTGAAACTTAAAAAACTACACAGAGATTTGAGATCTATAATTAAATTAATAAATTTTTGTTTTAACCTACCAGGCATGGCACACACTTCCCACGACCTAAACTCAGTCCCAGTGTGCTTTTCTGCTTTGGAATATTGATAAGGCTGTGCCCACAATGATGTCTTTGGGGACATTGCTGAGCTCATGGCCTCTGTTCTCTAGCAGGACTCTAGTTTACAGGACAGTGGCAATCTTGCTGAAGTTCAATGGTGATTAAGGCGATGCCTTAAAGCTGAGTCCTAGAGTATTCAAGATGTCAGACTGACTATTCTTCCCCTGTCTCTATCTGGGAACTGCTATTCTCTGTGATTTCAACATATCTCTGGCTTATCCCTTTTGTCTGCCTTTCCCTCCATTCTGCTGCCACCCTCTCTTCATAGGAGTTGGTTTCATGGGTGGAGGGATTTCATGGGGGAAGGGGCCTATGAGACCTCTTAACTGTCTCCTTAAAAAATTAAAACAATCCATCATGACATTGGAACCTATCAGATTCCATTGATGGAACTCTACATTTCAGGGACAAGATGCTTCTAGTTTCAGGAAGATGAATGGTGGATATATTCACATACACACATGCGCGCATGCACATACACACACACACGCACATTTCCCTATATGTATAACTTATTGACTCATGGCATTTTAGAATGAAAAGAATCTTTAAAAAACTTTATTTTACAAATGGGAAACTGATGCTCAGAAGGCCTATGGTCACCCAGCTGAATTCATATATTCACTTACATTATTCATGTATATTCTGTTTGTTGTTGTTGTTGTTCAGTCATTCAGCTGTGTCCAACTCTTCGTAACCCTGTGGACCATATCATGCCAATACTGTCCTTGGGGTTTTCTTGGCAAAGATATGAGAGTGGTTTGCCATTTCCTTCTCCAGTGGATTAAGGTAAACAGAGGTTAAGTGGCTTGCCCAGTGTCATACAGCTAGTAAGAGTTTGAGACTGGATGTGAACTCAGGTTTTCCTGACTCCAAGCCCAGCCCTCTATACACTGAGCCACCCAGCTGCCTCCAATATTCTGTATAGACATGTTTTCTTCCCTAAGGGAGGAAGGCTTCTTGAAGACAAGGACTGTTTCATTTTATCTT